AAAATTTATATATTTCAAGATTTCTCAAGACAAAAGAGACGTCAGTTTTCCATTAATTTATTTTTTCGACAATACATTTTGTTTATTAGCATACGTACCTACACTATTTATCCATAATAATTAAAAAAATTAGGAAATCGAAAAATCGAACGATTGCAATGCTTCCATTTTGAATCAAGAAACAGAAAAAGTCTATTTTTATAGCTTTATATGGTGCCCGCTGAGATGAGTATTTGAAAAAATATTTAATTTGTTGAATGGTTCATGAGATATTCAGACATTCAAGCAAAAAATGTGATATCTCATCCAGAATACAAACATTCTATATTATGAGAACTACAAGTCTACGAAATTTTTCGCTCGCTATCTTTATTTTTTGTTAATTGACTGTGCTCACAAAGTTTATGATGATCAAACGTAAGAACGGCGATATCACGAAATTTTATGCGAACAAATGGATATATTTTGATTGATATATATAGGACCCACTGATACAAGTATATTTTGAAAAAAAATTGAAATCCTTGCAATAATTTTTGAGGTATCGAGGAAAATTGAAATTTACTAAAGTTGCTGTATTTCAGGAAGTACTCTACCGATCATGCTGAAACGATGCATCAAAATAACGGCTAATGATATCTATCATGAGGTAAAAATTGAGATTTTTAGTGATATATTTTACCGTATTTATGTTAAAATTTTGTCAAAATTAATCTTCGGAATTTTGAATTCTCCAGCACATACACGTAGACATGATCTAAAAACATTGTTTGCACGTTTAGTAACATTCTACATAACTTACAATTGAAATCGAAGAATCGAGAAATTAGTTAAATAGACGGCTTCCATTCAGAAGCAAAAACGAATTCGAGTAAATAAAAAAAATTCGTTTGAAATTCTGAGAAATTGTGGGATCGAAGGATTTCTCAGTAAAAAAAATCGCACGCGATCCGTTTGCCCGTAATAAACTCGTCTTTTTTACTTAGAGAATTGCTTTTTAAATTTACATGTAATGTATAACCATTCGGATAAATAACATAGACAAAGGGCCTTCTCTTGTGGGTAGACCTGTCACCCTGGACGAACTGGTGACCAGGGATACTTGGAGACGAACTCTCGAGCAAGCAACATTGGACATTAACAACCTAGCTTACATTATATCAAGTCTTTAACTACAGTTTATTTGTTAACCGTAAATGAAAGATCCAGTCATTCAATTAAATTGATGGCAATATATTTTCACCTACACTTTCACTTCAGATGAATGATTTTACCTCTAATTTGCATAACATTGAAAACAGGTGAAATAATCCCCAAAAACAAAAGTGACGTTTTTGTAAAAAAAAACTGTGACAAATACGTACCATTGAGTTGACTGTTTTTACTTCCAAATAAGCAGCGAAATAAAGGGAATACTATGTCTTTAAGTCTGTGATGTACTAGGTGATGATGTACTGAATCTTGAAGTTGGAAGGCTTGAAGACTGTTTGCCTTAACTTGCAAAAGAACAAGTAATTCAGCTTCCCTCATATCACTAATAATTTCTCCATGAATTTTAATTTTAGCTGCAGGAATTCCAGATTTTCGTTCTCCAACGAGTGGAGTCTATAGCAACTTAGAGAAGTACAATCTACCACATCCTCAGGCGATCTTTGACATCGACTATTTCGCTGAAAATCCTGAGCCTTTCTTCGCCCTAGCGAAATTATTGCTTCCTGAGGGTTACAAACCCACCCCCAGTCATTATTTCGTTAGATTGCTGTGGGAAAAGGGATTATTGCTAAGACATTATACGCAAAATGTGGACACATTGGAGAGAATTGCTGGTCTTCCTGGGGAGAAATTGGTTGAAGCTCATGGAACATTCCACACTGGAAGATGCCTCAAGTGCAGGTGCCCTTATGATCTCCCTTGGATGAAAGGTAATTCATGAATTCTCATTAATTTGTCAATCACTCACACTCGTGTAAATATTCGCCCATTCCACAACTTCCGTATTATCATAAGTGATCAGTTATAACTTCAATACTAATTGAATTATTGGTAATTACAGAGAAAATCATAGAGGGGCCTATTCCGAAGTGTGAGGAGTGTTTAGAGGGTGTGGTGAAGCCAGACATTGTATTTTTTGGAGAAATGTTACCGGACAGATTTCATACGTTAATTGAGCATGACTTTGTACGTGCTGATCTTTTAATTATTATGGGCTCCAGTCTAGTTGTGCAACCGTTTGCCTCGTTGATTGATAGGTACTAACCGTCTCTGAATATTACTCCCAAAATCTTTAAATATTATTTTCTATTTATCTTGTGAATGACAGTATTTTAATCGTAAAAATATAGCTCCATAATTTACTACATTAGAGTAATTCAATATGTTCTAAGAATTCCGAATCGGCACTCTTTATAAAGTGTCTAAGAGTGTGTCTGATAATTTGTTTTCAAAAATTTTTCATCAAAAATTGAAATGAATATATTTTATGATTCCTCAATTAACTACTGACT